ATACATAGATAGTGAGCCTGTAAAGAACTTTGTACAAAATATTCAAATAAAAATGTAATTGCACAGTTTCAAAAATATAGATATTCTGACGATGTGCCAGAATGTACTGAGCGAGTGATAAATGAAATATTGGTCATGTTAAAAATATACAGCATTTTAAGTGCATCATGTTTAATAGAATATAATAATAATAGAATATGGCACACATTGTTCACATTCGAGCGCTGTTTTTTTTTTAGATCACTAATAGCTCATGGAAGGCTTTTTTCACAATTTTCATAAATGTAATTGACTAAACAATCAGGGTTACTCTAAAATATAATCCGATACAGTACGACCGGTTCATGCTTCAGTGTGTCAATCCCTCAATTATTAGACAAAAGAAAAAGACAACAGCTTTGTTATTAAATTGAACTTCGCACTATCCTGTCAAACCAGTCTCATCAGCGTATACAGGTGAATTCTCTGAACCCAAAGAGGTACACATCATCCTTCAAGTGAAGCTCAAACACAGAAATGAGTAGTTTTGTAATTTAAGGATGTGTGTTTAGATTTTTCTTTCCCTTTTCTCCCCCACAAAAGACACACCTTGAGCTTTATTTTGAAGAGAAACCCGCGGGGAACTTCCAGTCCTTCCTGTATTGAATTGCCTCCAGCTTGATGCAGCTCTTTCAAACCCCACCCTGAAAATGTGAAGTGCTCTGCCCAGACATCTCTCTGCCTCCATGCTGCACAGGTCAGCTGGTGGACTGCTGAGGCCTGACTGCTCTTTCACCTCATGGAGACACATGTGGACATCACAAAGCACTTGGTCAAATAAAGTGTTTATTAACAAGACTAAAGAAGGCTTTTCAAGAACTCACATGCTTCCACTTTGGCCCATCTTAAAAACATGTTTTATTTAGAAGTAAATCTGATAACGCTTGTTGTAGTTTAGAGTTTAAAGGGTCAGTTCACAAAAAATATTATATTAACCTTGATGGTATCTATCCATACATACATTCTCAGTAACAAGGACTTTGAGTTTTTTTAAAATGAATATTTTTACTGCTTCAAAGGTTCAGTTTGTAACTTTTAGGAGGCTCTATTGACAGAAATGGAATACAACATGCCTAACTCTGTTTTCAATATAGTGTATAACCACCTGAGCCTTTTATATCTACAGGCGCTGCAGGTTGCCTTAAGTGGAGTATCTCCTTTGTGCTTGGAAGGAGAGGGTGAAGCGAGGGAGTTGCAAACTGCAACTACACCACTAGATACCACTAAATCCTACAATCTGGTGATTTTATATTTTCTGAACAAACCAACTGAGAACCTGTTTATGGATTAAAGAAAATACTGTTTTGTTCCAGGGACTGAAATACCTCACAAATCATCACATTGTGTCAAAAAAACAACACATTATCATCAGTCCTTCCGTAGTGGCCGCAGACACCTGGAGGCCGTAGAGAAAGGTATTTGCAAAATCTTTCACGGTAGATAATTCTGAATTGTCCAACAGTATTTACCATGATGTTATCCAAGCCTACCTAAAACACAACAAATAAAACTCTATCCACCTTGTACAGCAGTGAAGCAGCTATTAAAGGCAGCTTTTTGCAATTTGGGTGAACTGAGCCTTTATCCATTTAAAGTTCTGACATGATCATCATGTAGGTCTATGTCATTAACCGGCACATTACAGTTAATGCTGATAAGTAAAGCCGATTTCTGAGGCCATTGAGTCCTAATTAAGTTTATCTGGCCATTTGATGTTTCATTCCAAAGTCATCAGTGTCTCATCCTGAGTCATCAGTGTTAAGTCATTACAGCTGGAGATTCAGTCCAATAAGATAAACAGTTGGCCTGCAGCAGTGCAACTCTAGTGCAGAAGTAGTGGAAGTAGTAGTAGTAAGTGCAGTAAAAATATAGTATTTGGAATATATTAGCAGTAGTAGCAGCAGAAGAGGTAGATTTTTTAGTGAGCTGGACATGCAAAAATGTGAAAATATGTCTATAAACAAACACATAATTCAATTTATATAAATAGTTTCCAATAATAAGTTGATGCTATTTATTTGGGTTTAAATGGAGCAGTTGTTTAAATTTCTGCTTTCCCCATAAAAACTATCAAGTTACATTGTTCTTTCCAGGAAACATCCTGGCAGATTAATAAATGTGTTCTTACCCATAAAATAAAGCCTTAACAATTCCTTTCTTGGTGTTTATCCACCTTCAGTTTGGTTTCCAGCACTTTAATTCCTCAGGAAAAACCCTCCAATAATCAGTTCAGCGTTTCATCTGCAAATAAGCTGCTGAACATCTGGGCCAAAATCTATGTATTAACATTAATATAGAATTTATAGAGTTTTTTGTTGTTGATTAACTTACATTAAAGATTTAATATATACATATATATGTTAATATAACTGCAGCTCTGATGGCCTAAAGAAACCCATGACCCCCCCCCCCCCCCCC